AGAGGAGACACAGAGGACAATCTTTCCTTCAGCACGGAGTTTTGAAGCAATGAGTTTGCAGAGATATGTCTTGCCGCATCCCCCTGCGCTATGGACAAAGTATGCATGTCCAGGTCTTTGCTGATTAGGATTCATTGCATCCTTGACCACAGCATTATAGACCACCCTCTGCTCGACATTAAGCAAAGGGACTCCTTCATCCACTATCTGCTGAAGCTCCTGCGGGTCATACTGATGCTGCTCAGTGATGAGCTGGTTGCCCTCCATGGCCCCCCATCTTTCTGCCATTCAAGCTACTGGCATTTGAGGAATTGCTTCCAAAGACTTGCCATTTTTGCGGAGCACGCCATCAATGAGATGAAGACCATAGTCATGTACCTGTTCCTCCGTGGGGTCAGGCATGTTGAACGGTGCATGAGTGAGGTGGTGACGCAGATCATTGCAGAGATTTTCCTTGAAGCAGTTCCAAAGATCATCAGGGCTGGTAGGGTTGCAGTGCAGCAGGATGATGGCAAAGAGATTGCACATGTGATTTCCTGTGTACATATGAGAGGCATCCCGCAAGCACTGGATCCATTCGTAATCGTCATCAAGCAGACCCCTGTGCCGACGCGCTTCCTTGAAAGTCTCATAGAGAGTCTCATCATGTGTCCGAAGGCGTTCAAAGGAGGTAGCCCCTTGAAATTATGGTGAGCTTAATTGATAAAAATTGTCTTAGACATCATACCTTTCACTACAGTCAAAAGCAATCTCAGATAGAAGCGCTCTCTGGAGCTGGGCGCAGCAGCATACATTCTTCCAATTGCCATTCCTTGCTCCCATATCTTCCATGCACCTTTGCTCCAAATGAATTTGAGGGGAAATTCTGATAGAGGCTGTTGTGGGCTCCAGCTGCCACCAAGTTCTCATTGGCATTGGCTTTGAACCATCCAGTGAGGCAAGTATCTTCCACTTCTGCGTGCTCAAGGACTTCCTCAGCATCATCCTCGGGGTCATAGAACACTATCTGTTCATTTTTGAGGTGGACCGGCAAATGGTAGACAGAGGGCCATTCGAGATGCATCGAAAATTTGAAGATGCACCATGCAGCCTCGGTAGAGCTGATATATCTCAAGTCCAGATATGATTTGACCTCATCTGCCGCTCCTCTCATCTCCAACGTAGCGCGGTTGTTTCCCTTATAAATGTACTTGTGGATGTATTTGACAGATTTGATAGAGGCACAGACCTCAAGATTGATGTGGCAGTTGAATTCCACCAGCAGTTTGGGGGGGTGTGGAACAACATCCTTGTTGGTGAAGATGATGTTGTTCTTTTGGATGGTGCAACCATTGTCAGGTCTCGCATACTCGGGATAGCCATCATCCTTCATCAGGGTCTGGGGACAGAATGTTTTTGGAAAGTGCTTTTTGCACTGCAAATTCTCTATGCAACGCTGCGGACTGCAAGGGCCATGCAGCATGTATTTTTCCACAACCTGATAGAGCTGAGGATGGATGTTCCTGTCAGGAATCTGAGTGGAGATGAAGGAGTCAATTTGCTCAGTGGTATGGATCTTATAATCTGGCTCCAGGAAGATGAGAAGGTGTTACAAGAACATCTAGATGCTTGGGCCCCTACCATTTTTCTCCTAATCCTCCTCGTATCAGCCCTTGCATCATACCCTTACCCCGACCTCACCCTGGTCATCCTTGTCATCCTCGCATTCCCTTTCGCTCTCTATCTGTCGCTTCAGCAAAGCCAGTACATCTGGCCAGATCCTTTTGCTGACGAAGCATACCCATGCTCCATTCCTCCACCCGACTGATCCTGTGGACAGTCCCTTTGCCCTTACCATCCGGACGGTAACCTATGATATGATGCACGACGCATCCCCTTTGCCCTTTTCCCTTTCTTGATCTCTGACTTGGTGCGCAGTCGCACATGCAACTTATACTTAGCTCTGCAGCTGCACGATCGTGCCCCTGCGCGTTTCACTTCTTATTCTGACTATTGACTTACCTTCTTATCTGCACGTTCAGGATTCACTCGTGTCTCACCTCGAACGTGCCTTCCTTTTATGGTTATCCCCTTTACCAGTTACCTCTCTTGGTAGTACGAGTTATCACCCACTAATACGCTTCCTGTCCTCTATATAAACTCGCTACCATGTACTATATTCCCTAACTTGAATCTACTTGGTTCTTGACCTCCTACTCTTACCGGAGTGATCCTTTCTGCCTCGCCAGCAGTCTATATTCTATCTTCTTATCTGCTCTTTGCGGATAAGCCTATAGTCTCGACCTTTACTCATCAACTTCGTCGACGAGCAAAGCCCCTGTTAACTAGTCGGACTTCTGTCCTTCTAATTAATGATGATCTTACGATTAACCTTCGGGTGTCGTAAGTCTTGGCCGATATAGCGTATCGTCTCGCACCCGCTTGACATAAGCTACCCGATTTGGACATAGGCGTCAAATCTTACTTGCCGAAGCCTCGCCAAGTAAGACCCCTAACCTTGGGCTAGCCCAAGGACGTCCCCGACCGTTGACGACACACGCTCTGTTTGAGCGTCGCCAACAGATACCATCCAAGTCGTAACAGAAGGTGCATGTGAGGCAGGCCCCGCTTTTGATATTCGATGGTGTACACCAATCCAGCAACCTTCCCATAGTAGCCCTTGTGAACCTTCTTCAGCAGTGCTTGCTGCTTCTGGTAGAAAACCCAAGCCACCAAGTCTGGGCGGTCCACAGCGCTCTGACCTATATAAGAAATTATCAGCACAAAGTCATACACAACACATAAAATAAGAATCATTACCAGGAAGGAGATTCTCTGTGATTTCAGGCCAACTTCCATTGGCGGTCATCGTCAGGAAGAGATCTGACTTTTTGCAGGCACAGCAAATGGCTAAGGAGTCTTGAAGCAGCTGATGCATATATTGAGGGCTCCCTGTGTGAGAGGAGGGAAGAATGATGGAGTGACCTGTCTGAGCCAGATCATCTACACCCTCGTTGCGAACATTATCTGCTAAGCCTTGATAGCAGTCCGCCCTTAGCTGCTCTTGGTTTCTCCTGATCCAGTTCAAATTGCTCTGTTCGATGGAGGCCCAAGTGTCGACGATATACTGCTGGAACAATCTTCCACTGCGAAAGATGTTGTTGTGATAGATGGGAACAGGGCGTGGATGAAGTTGATAGGCATAGTACAACAGCTGAGTGACATTCTTTGCAACCATGCAGGTATTTGGGGGGAGAATCAGAGGTATTCCAAGGTGCCAGCCCTCCTCTCCAGATGGAAAGAGAAGGACATAGTGAAGTGGGGAGTATGCATGGCTGAGCTGACTTATATGCTGGAGTCGACCTCCTTGAAGCCGCAAGATGATGTCCCGTTTTTTGGATACCTGCTCAGATCCATCTCCAGGAATGATCACAGCAATTTCATTGGCAGTGGGAACATTATATCTTTGACCATCTGTGCCTTGCTGGAAGTGAATGCGTGCACAAACATCCGTGTGCTGCTCTGGAGGCTTCTCTCGCATGACCTGATAGGCCTGCTTGTAAAGAGCGGCATAGGGATTGATTCAATACAGCATGTCATGGAGTTCTCTGAGGATGCCGCAATCAAGACCTTCATTTCCAGGTCGAGTGGCGCAAATGTTGGTGGCTTCCTTGGGATTGTAGATATAAAGTTGCGCATATGAAGGCTGAATGCCTTCTGGAGGTATGAGACTACCCATGAGGTGATGCAGAGATCCATGAATACAAAAAGCATTGGGGCCAGAGCCTTGGAGGGCTCTATCCTCGATATCGACACTGACTGATGTAACGATGGTCGTGGTGCTGGGCTCGAAACCAGGCAATCCAATACCTATGTTCATACCATTTCCCAACCTCCCCTGACCTTCCGAAGGCCGCGCCCACTTGTCCGAACCTTCCGCAGGCAGTTCTCGTGTTCCGAGACCCGTCTGAACCTCGCATAGTTACCATACCATGTCCTATCCTCGTCCTTTTGACTTTGCTGGTGCGTTTTCCTTTATTCTAACTATATGTTGACTACGTCTTAGTGCTACATGGATAACAATCCCATCGGCATCCTGTCGGGAGCCTTGGAATACGTATAAGCAGTATGCATTGCGGCTTATTACATGTATACTTGCATTCTTGCACGCCTCGCGGCTTATTACATAGGTTCAGACTTGCTTATCTCGCTACTAGTTTTGCCTATGGATTCCGGCCTCTCACGGAAGTAGGATATAATCTTGCTCGCTGACTACTGATAGGACACTTCACTTCCCATACTTCGAGTAGTAATTAGTAGAGTCACCTCAGTATAATTGTAAACTGCGCAATCAATCCTTGTTCATTCGGAACAATTGTCTGGCTAGACTGCTGCCAATTCCGCACTTCGTTTATTCTTGAGTCCCGATAGATTAGCATTGTTCCAACCTTCAGATGTTGTGCAAAGTCTTATACTGTTATTTGACGCACCAACATACCGACACATCGACACACCGACATATATAGACCTTCGGACAGCCTTCGCAAGCCTCAGAAGGCATCGTGCTACTTCGGACAACACTTTCGCAGCCTTGGACTACCATCGGTCGCATCGGACAAGCTTCTCAGTACTTCGGAAGTAGTCTTGGAACTACGGACAAGCATTAAAGAGGTTTTCTTCCAATATCTTGTCTACTCTCTAACTGTATAAGACTTCCCTTGCATTATCAAGGTAGTTCTTAGGTTGTCTCTTGGGACGAAGCATACTCACATCTCTCAGGACTAGGGACTCACATTCAGTAGAGCCCAGCCCGGATCTACTCTTTACACCGATGTGAATGCAAGAGCGCTGTTGTACTGCCAAATATTGGAGACAAATGTCCTGTCAGTATAAGTGTGCTGCAGTTCTGGTGGCCATGGTGGAAAGGGCAGGAGGACAACTTTACCCTCCAAGCAGCATGTACTGAATTTTGGATTCTGTAGGGAGGATTTTGAGAGTCTTTCAGATGCAAAGTGCAATGCATGGCACTTGGTGCACTCTACATTAAGAGGACCAAGATTATGGATATTTATAGGCTCCCTGTATGGTTGAGCTCCATCAGGGATAGGAATAATGTGGTTGATAACTTCTTGATCCTCTGCCTCATGCTCCTCACGTTGTTGAACCTCTTGAGCTCTTCTCCTTTCTTCATCAGCTTTGTGATTTTCTTGAGAAGTAGGATCATTGTATTCACGTAATGCCTCTTCTAGGCACTCCTCCTCTTCATGCTGCTGCATTTCAAAAGCATGTTGATCCAGTCTCTGGATTCTCTGAGCTTCTTGCAGCTGTAGATGAAGAGCCTCCTGCTGCTGCAATTGTGCCAGTCCTTGGATCCTCTGAGCTTCTTGCTGCTGCAGGTGAAGAGCCTCCTGCTGCTGCAATAGTGCCAGTCTCTGAAGCCTCTCAGCTTCTTGCTGCTGCAATTGAGCCTGTCTTTGGATCCTCTCAGCTTCTTGCCGCTGCAGGTGAAGAGCTTCCTCATGTCGCCATTGAGCCTCTCTATTGATCCTCTCAGCTTCCCGTTCCTGCAATTGTAGCTGAATTTGATGTCGATGAAATTCCTCCTGCGCTTGCCTTTGAAGCAAGTCATTTCCAATATGTTCTTGTTCCATCTGCTCTGCCTGGAGATGTTGCTAAAACTGAATATTAAATTGATGATAATCAGGTTCAGGTGGTTCATGCAAAGGCGGTGCAGGATTAGGCACAAAGTAATGAAGAGGATTGTCAAAGTTGTGAGGACCAACTGCGCCCTCATAATGAATAGCACCATATACAGGAGGAGCAGGAGCAGGAGCAGGAGCAGGTTGAACGGGTTCATTATGGATATGAGGTACCTGTTGGGGCTGTATTCCAGCTGCCATTAGCTCTGCTTGCACCTGCTCTCTTATCTCCTCTCTGTCCTGTTGCCTACGATGGTTGCACTGGCGGCGTCTATCATTATTAGCTGCATTCATCTGCTCATTCAGGCGTGCATTATAATCAACAGGAGGGTGCTGATGAGCATGTTGCACATGCGCAATGGCATTACGTGGCAAGCCAGGATATTGTCCAACTGGTAGCGGTTCATATGGAAGGTGAGCAGGAGGCTGCCATGCAAAAGGTTGCGGAACAGGCCCTGCTTGTGGTTCATTAGCTGGCATGAAATTTGGCTGTGGTACATGAGGTGCAGGCCTATCGTGAGCAGCATGTCGATGATTGCGCCTGGTAGGGGACGTCATCTGGAGTTGATTGACTCTATCGCGTTCATGTTGGGAGTGACGCTCGCGCTCCAGGGTAATATGTTCGTGATCTCTAAATAGCATGTGCAGACATTAGCATCATGCACCTTGCACGTAGCAATATATAGTCAGCAACTCACGGAATGGGCATATTTCTGTCCATGTTTGATATTTAAATGGTTGTTTAGCAAGTGCAAAATTTGAGTTGCCTGAGCCCATCAATAAGTCATTTCTATCATCATTGATAAGAATCAAAACCCACAAAAAGTGTATCACACTTTGTTACACTTGGCTGCAGGGGAGGGCAATTTAATTCGAGAAATTCTATACAAAAGCAGCAGCCAATTGTGTAATGATTTGTGTCACCAAATTATGTAACCAATTGTGTAACCAATTGTGTAACCGAAATCTGTTATGCTTTTGCTATTCTCGATGCTTGCTCCCTTATAGTAGGAAAAGTGAGTTGTTTGTCCATATTATGGGCGCGGCGCAGTAGGCGTGCAGAACACTGTCCACTATATCGTGTTTGGTAGCTTTTTTGGACACTGTGGAATTTTACCTTTCGAAATTCTCAATTAAGATTTTTTTGTTCTCACTGTTAGCAAACACAAGCGAGAAAACCACGCAAGATTTCCAAAAGTAAGATTAAGCAAGGTAAGCGAAACCATGTGCTTCACACATGGCGTTTAGCAAAAAATGCATGACCTTTAGTGAAACCCACATGGCCCTACGCGAAAACCATGTGAGTGTCCAGTACTTCCCTCACTGTTCTCCCTTACTTTATAGACTAGCACACACCCATTGTGCCTTCAGCACAGGAAGCAAAAAGAGCGCTTCGCACTCTTTGTTGGCTTCCTGGCCTTCGGCTTCATCCTACTTTGGGTATTTTAATAATTATTTTAGGTCTTGAAATAAATTATATTGTATTCATCAAGTTGAGCATGATATATTACATTCAGATATATTGAACCCTCCTGTTCTCAGCAGGACATACTGCGCTACAGTGCTACAAAGCACTTTGTAGCAAATTATGTTCCCCTCATAAGTTCTCTGATTTTCCCATTCTCCTGTTTCCCTGTTCTCTGTGCAGATGAGAAAAGTAAAAGTAAAATTGAATGTGTTGATCCCATCTCACTTGTCCTCCCATCCTCACGTCCTCCTCTTTCCCCCCTTTTCCCATTTTCCTGTTCTCCCATTTTTCCCATTCTTCCATTTTTTGTTTCTCCTGTTTTCTTGTTCTCTGTTCTCTTGTTCTCCAATTTTCCTCATTTTCTCTGTTCTCCCATCTCCCCCATTCTCCCATTCTCATTTTCCATTTCTCAATTTTCTTTTCTTATGGTAGTTGAATTTATTGTGTATATGTTTTGAATTTCATAGATAATAGATGTTTTTAAATGTGTGCTGCCCTAACGGGCAGCAGATGCACATGACAGCCACACAAGTTTCTAAATCGAGCTTTAAGCGAGGTAAGCAAAACCACATGGCATTTAGCATCTGTTAGCGGCCCAAGCCAGTGTTTCTAGCGCCAGTGGCCAGCCACTGACTAGCCTGGAAAACAGGTTTGGCTTAGCCACTGGTGGTACGACGGTGGTTGGCTTTTCCCAGGAGCAACAAAGCTTACTAAGCTGGAAGAACACGATATCATTGGCTGGTGATAAAGGCTAGATTGTACTACTCATCATGTCATTGAACATTTGCTCATCATCTTCACCTTCCGCATCCATGTTGACTAACTCGTAAAACTCGAATTCATCATCAATTGATCTCATCCTGAACACTTCAGTCATTTTTACCCAGCTCTCGTCTTCGAAGTTGAAAAGTTGTTGAAGGGGGATATCATTGAATGCAAACCCCATGTCTATGGGGTCCTCGTCTTCCAATGAGTGCTGTGCAAGAATGGATGCAATGTGCCCAAGTGAGTGGTCATCATCAGTGGTGTCTCCATCCTGTGTTTCCGGCTGCTCAGACTCTGATGATAGATCGTCAGGAACAGAGTCCAAGTCTGCAGGAGTTATAGTCACAATGGCTGGTGGGGGTAGTGGGTCGGGGATGATTTTCCTTATGCGATACAGACAGCCCTTTTTGTCCCCCATCTGCATATACTCGTCTCGCAAATGCAAGCGCAATTCTGCCAAGTCTGTGAGGCCTTTAAGACTGAGACGCAAACAAAGTTTTGTGAGTACTGTGCCAAAAAGACTAAAAAGATGTTCACAAGAGGCCAAATTTGCGCAGATCGAAAAAATTCACTGAGCGAATTTCTGCAATGGTGTTGGCTCGACGTCTTGAAAATGTATACCGTCGTACATCTTGAGAGGGTCGGGACATTTTTGCTACAGAATGTTATGAGTGACAAGAAAAATAGTTATAGACAGATTAAACATGCCTCAACCTTGGCCGCACTTCGAACCAAGTCCACCCAATTTATAAATTCTTCGCCGTAGTCCCCATGTCCTTCTAGATACTCTAAGAACTCCTTTCGAAACTCATCAGAGGGTGTGTTAGGGAAAAATCGACCCCATAACTTGACAAATAATGTCATGAGTCCTGCATTGGTAAATTTGCGAAGGCAAGCAAAGGGCTTGATCCTGTAAAGAGGGTTCAAAACAACTGCAGCTAGAAATACATCTTGATCGCATTTGCTCCAGTGCTTTTTGAGAGAATCAATGATAGCCTGAATCATCAAATTTTCTCCGACTGATGAAGCCTTCCCTTGTAGCGCAGTATATCTTGATATTAGAAAGCCAAAAATGATCAAAACTTCATCGAGACAACAGTGTGTGGCCTGAGCAATGTTGATTACCAATGATAAGGGCTGCAGGTGACTGACCATCCTACGAAAATTTCGATTCAGCTGATACTCAATGAAAAAGGAATGATTTTTTACTGAGCCAGGGTCATCCACATCACTGGGTCTTCGATCAATCCCAGCATCTCCATTGCCTTTTTTCACAAGGCAGCATCACCCGTAACTATTTTTGAATCCTGTCCGAGACTTTTCTCCTGCCTGACGAGAATGTCGAGTGCAAATTTAAGATCAAGAAGTCGTCTGAAGGCAAGATAATGAACAGTCCATCTGGTCAAAACTGCACGGATTACAGTGAGAACACGATTAGGACGGGATGAGTTAGTTGAATTGAGGGCAACTTGGATATCTCTTAGTGTTGCTAGAACAAGTGTCTTGCTTCGAAGCCAAGAAATGAGGTCAGATGCTTTCTTTGAGTATCCCAGGTAAACTGTGCCACCAGATGACTTGAAATAGTCACCAACAATAAGATTTATCTTTGCGACAGTAGTATTAATAATTCGGAGTGACAAACGAGACACTGGACATAATTACCTGGTGAGCATAGCAATCTGCAGATACTAATGATGGAAATTCCTCAACAAGCCATTTTCGAGCTGCCCAAGACTCACCTGATGCATCTGATGTAACGGCAACAATATTTGCCTTCCAGTTGAGTCGAACCTCTTCAATGACACTGATCATGAGAAGTTTGAGGTGTTGTGCAGTTTTGCACTGAGCAGATACATCTACTACTCAAACCGTGTGGACCTGATTTTTCTGAATCACTATAGGTAAACTTGAAACAGTTAAAATAGTCTTGCCTGTCGACTCGCTGTTGTGATCATGAATGCCAGCAGGTAGTGAACATTTACACCCATCCATTCATCTGTCTGGAGCATCGCATCACTTCCACGGCAGCAGTTTTTGGCGGCTTGCCGGTACTTTTCAACTTCACGTGGGATAATGCAATTGGAGAGTTGATAACTCGAGATTGAATTTGTGAAGGGGAAAAACTCATTCATGAAACTACAAACTGCTTGATTTTTAATCCAATTAAGGGAGAACCCGCATGATGCAGTGATGTTGGCAATATGAGTCTCTAAGTGTTCCTGAAAAGCTGGTGTCCAGTGCGGCCGTGAAGGAGTGCCTCCGCCTGTAGTTGGGGTATCTACTATCATGTGATTCCGAGGCTGCGATATCTGCCGCACCCGTTTTAATGGGGCCGGCCGGGATCCTTCACCAAATGCTGGACTACTGGTATGAGATGAGGCAGGGGGGAATAATAGCGGTGACTGAGATCGTGAGGATGGGTTACTTGAATCTGGTGGAACATCAAACAATCTGACAAGTGGAGAAGGCAACTGCAACGATTGTTGAATATACATGGGTGAATCAAGACCAAGGCTGGTTCCCAGTAATTGTGGTGAATTCAAACTAATAATCTCATGAGTGGATCTCGGTGCTTTGATCCACCCCCTTTCGATACACACAGCATGTGCCTGTGCACGGACTTCTAGTGGTTGATTATCACAAGAATTGAGATGCGAGACTATGGTATCAGGTCATCCATGCATCCACGGACAATTTCAGTCTCTGACGAGACTCTCTGATCATGACCACACTGAAAAATATAACCAACAGAACTTCTGCAAGTAGTATTGAGACACTTACAATATGCAATAATTTGATCATGTGTTCGCACATCATTTCGCAGGCCTTGGCGCTGCTCCTTGCGATCCTTCTGCTGCTCGTCAATCGTTTTTTTAATCTTGCAGGCTCCACACATCACTTTCGGTCGTCTCTCTTTCTCGTTTGCATAGGCCACAGGGAGTTTCTTCTCAAAATCTGGGTGGGTATCAAAATATCCCCACCACCAGTCTTTGGGCTTTTTGTTGCTCATTCTAAAAGCTGGGAGTGGGTAGCACACAATGTTGCGTGGAGGTGATAGCGCACATTGATATTGCCATCGATAAGACTGATCTATGAGACTGCACACAGATGGGAACTACCTTCTATTTCGGGTATTTCGCCATCACCAGAACACTGCCACTGGCTGTAGCCTGGGGCTAGCCCATAGGCTTCACACGTCTTATGGTTGGCTCGCCACTGGCGGTAGAAACACTGGCCCAAGCGACCCAAGCGAAAACCACGCGAGCGACCGTTCCCTCCCTCACCGTTCTCCCTTACTTTATAGATTTATAGATTTATAGATAGATCTACGCGGTGCAAGCAGAAACCACGCGAGCGTCCGTCCCTTCCCATCACCGTTCTCCCTTACTTTATAGATCTATGCGGTGCAAGTGGAAACCATGCGAGCGTCCGTCCCTTCCCGTCACCGTTTTCCCTTACTTTATAGATTTATAGATTTACTGTAACTCACGCGATACCAGCAGGACCAAACAAAAGCCCTAACCTCAGTCTCATAGTTTTGATCATCGCTTGTCTGTTACCCTCTCCCGCTTTAAATTTTATCATTCCTTAAAGCCCGAGAAATCCTGAAACCACTAATTTGTGGGGATTGGGAATTTCTTTCTATAAAATTGCTAATCCGAATTGGGTCCTCTACGGGTATCGATCGTGAGTCGAATCTTGCCGTTCTCCCATGTCACGTGTACTCTACGAGTTATTTTCGTGAGTGACAAATTCTTCTGAGCACATTGCGCCTCACCTAGTCAGATCATCAATGATATACGTGGGGCGCTTTATTTCCTCCGAACAGTTCTCAAAGTCCTCACGTGTATGCGAGGTACAAACTGCGAGCGTCTTTGCACCGGCACTATTTCCTGATTGCACCCCGGACGGTGCATCCTCGATGACAAGACCTGGGGCAATTCAGGCACCACAAAGAAACGGGTATCGCCCGACTCACACTTGGTTACATCAATCCCAAGTTTCTTTGCTCCTTCAAGATATGGTGTGGGCTTTGGCTTTCCCTCACTAACATCATCTGCCGTCACAAATCCTGACGTAGGCACCGGAATTTTGCATTTCGGTATGCACTGAGTTGCATAGTACCTCGAAGCTATGGTTTAGGGAGCTCCGGTGTACCATTTACAAGACAAGATTGTCACACTACCTGATGTGACAATTGTCCACTTAGTGCGCATGTCATTGTGGGAGTCCAGCTTCGAGCGATGCAGTCAGCCAATCATGCAATATATATGTAACTTCGAAAGTTTTACCTGAGTCAAGAATTCGATGGCTCCTTCGAGGGCCACTGGGTTACCCTCGATCACCAGGTCCTCGAAGCGCAAAATCTCGCTCTGCAGAATTAGCGGGATCACAATAAGCATGGAACAAAGTCTTGCCCACATTCAAAATCTCTGTGTCCTGGATATTGCATATTGTCTCATCCTTCAGGGTATCAGCAAGTCTACGTCCATGAGTTTTCTGCACGATAGGAAGATGCGATCCAAGTTTGTATTCCTCCGCAAATGTTTTCCAGGCTGAAATAACACCCGGAGTGGAATCTATTAGCGTCCTGGCGTACAGCGATCAGCTATGGCAGATCGAGAAGACTGGTAGTGACCACTACCCATCCAGATCGAAAAGGATCTGCGAGAGGATTTAAATCCACAATCGTGATTATTATTGTTCAGCCTTTTCGTTGACGAGATAGACACGTACAGCATCGACAGTCACGATCTCGGGCAACGTCATGGTAGTCCAAGTCGACAAGTCACAACTGGGACAGCACTACCTGATGGCTTGAAGATAAGATAAGATAATTAGCAAGCAAGTTTTTATAAATCATTTTTATGTAAATAAATTATCGCAGCCAATCAACTTCGGTGTATCACCGAGTCACCTAGTACACTACATACTACAGCTGTCAGTGCCGATCCGTCATCACTGCAAGCAAAGAATCAGATCCAAGAGCCAGCTGCCGTCTCTAGCCTGCAACGATGGCTGATAAAATTACCCGTATCGCCATTGTAGACGCAAATCGCTGCAAGCCAAAGCGATGTGCCCAGGAATGCAAGAAGGTGATGCACCACTTCCTCTCGAGCAGTTCCATTAGATCAGTCACTCATCAGCTCACGAGCAGTCATGTCCTGTGGTAAAAATGGGTGCGCCTCCACCCGGAGCACTGGCGGAGTGCTCATGCTAATTGACCTTCCAGGCAAACTTTGCATAGAAGTAAAATCGACAGATAAGATAGCGTTCATCTCTGAGTTTCTATGTATCGGTTGTGGTATCTGCGTAAAGAAGTGAGTAGATCGTTTTACGAAGATCATTCACATGATCGAGAGAACTTTTAGATGCCCATTCGAAGCTATCGCCATCATTAACTTACCGACTAACTTGGAATCACAAGTGACCCATCGTTATACCGCCAACGCCTTTAAGCTCCATCGACTACCTACACCAAGACCTGGCCAGGTCCTTGGACTTGTTGGCACTAATGGAATTGGTAAAAGCACAGCACTAAAGATTCTCGCTGGAAAACAGAAGCCGAATCTTGGCCGCTATGATGTGAGTGGTATATTAGTGGGGTTGTTCCAGGACGGCATTGACTTTTACTACCTGGCAGGATCCTCCCGACTGGCAAGAAATCTTACGTTATTTCCGTGGGTCCGAACTGCAAAACTATTTCACCAAGGTTCTCGAAGACAATTTGAAGGCTCTTATCAAGCCACAATATGTTGATCATATTCCTCGCGCAATTAAAGGCAACCTGACTGTCTCACAAATGTTGGACTCGAAACTAGAGCTTGACAACAAGCAAAAAATGTGCGATGAATTGGAGCTGAACAACGTTCTTGATCGTGAAGTTTCAGCACTCTCTGGTGGAGAACTACAGAGGTTCGCAATCGCCATGTCATGTATTCAGAAGGCCGATGTGTGCGTATATCCCAATTCTATTATAAATCACGCTTTACAATCGGTATTGTGTAGATATATGTTCGACGAGCCCTCGAGTTATCTTGATATAAGACAGCGGTTGAAGGCTGCCGAGGTCATACGGTCCCTACTCACTCCGGACTGCTATGTCATCGCCGTCGAGCATGATCTGTCAGTATTGGATTATCTTTCAGACTTTATCTGTTGTCTTTACGGAAAGCCATCAATGTATGGTGTTGTGACTATGCCTTATTCTGTCCGTGAAGGTGAAAGTTTACCCAATTACTCGTTGTGAACTAGCTCACTATTTCACAAGGTATCAACATCTTCCTGGACGGTTTCATTCCCACCGAAAATTTGCGCTTCCGCGAGGAGTCATTGAGCTTCAAGATGATGGAGACTGCTGAGGAGCTCATCATTGACAAGACCCGTCATTACTCTTATCCCTCTATGACAAAGACGATGGGCAACTTCAAGCTCACTGTCGAGTCTGGTAGCTTCACTGATTCGGAAATTATTGTCATGCTTGGCGAAAACGGGACAGGCAAGACAACCTTTGTTCGTCTACTTGCCGGCGTGACGACGCCAGACATCGAGGCAGACAAAATGGAGTTGGCAGTGTCCTTGAAGCCGCAGACGATATCGCCAAAATTCCCAGGAACTGTCCGCATGCTTTTGCTGAAGCAAATTAAAGCGGCCTTCATGCACCCACAATTCCAAACAGACGTGGTCAAGCCAATGACGTTGGATAATATTATGGATCAGGATGTGAAGACGCTCTCTGGAGGTGAGCTGCAACGCGTGGCTATTGTCCTTGCACTCGGTGAGTGCTTTCTTTCTTCGATTTCGTTTCGCGTTGGCTGACACCTGACTTAAGGCAAACCCAATGTGTCTGTGTATTTGCTTGACGAACCAAGCAGGTGCGCCAATCTTGTTTTCTCTAAATGAATACGTTATAACAGAACTGAAGTTTCCTCGACTCTGAGCAACGTATCATCGCAAGCAAGGTCATCAAGCGGTAAGCAAACGATCTAGTCGTCTATATCTCGATTTGATCAATATTTTCTCAGCTTCATTCTTCATGCCAAGAAGACTGCTTTCGTCATCGAACACGACTTCATCATGGCAACATATCTGGCTGACCGCGTGATTGTCTTTGAGGGAGAGCCTGCCATTCGAGCAACTTCTACGCCGTAAGAAATTTGTGCTACATTATGCTCTCACACCTTGGTTAATTCGCTCTGCAGACCCCAGTCCCTCCTCACTGGAATGAACCACTTCTTGGCATCGCTTGAGGTCACGTTCAGACGTGATCCCACGAATTTCAGGCCAAGAGTCAACAAGCTTAACAGCGTCAAGGACAAAGAGCAGAAGGGTATGTTTCAGCCTTTTCAGGCATTCGTAACTTTTTTAATATCGTTATGGCAGTCGCGGGCAACTACTTCTTCCTTGAAGAGTAATGGATATCCTTGTTCTGCCACCGTTCGTTAGGAACGCGAAAAGGTTGGTTGACGACGAGGGTCGTTCTCAGAGCTGATTCAGATATTACAAACAGAATCATAGTAACATCTTGTTTGTATTAGCTTTCACTATCCTCTGCGCTGGCTGGCGATCCTTAAGAAGATTTAGTAGGCAACGGGTTTACAAAACCAATTGCGTGACATGTGGAAGATGTAGTCCAAGTTTGGTATTAGTCAGTGGTAAACAATAAGAACTACAATCAACCGCGACCAAGTACGTTCAAACAACAACATGAGTCCCGGCAAAACACAACACACTCTCCCGTTGGCGATGACCGGAGTGCTTCTTTATTGTGGAGGAGAGGCATGAACCCATTATATCCTGTTCCATTGTTCCTGATACTACTTTGCGTCAAGTATAAAGACCCTGCCACGGCATGCATTTCGTACTCGCCGTGTTCATCACACTCTCGTCAGTGACGAAGTAGACTGCGTCTGCTGCCTTCTTTCGCTTCGCCTTCTTAGCTTCCAACTTACAATCCGGCATTGACTGCCGTCTTTCACAAGCTGGTCTTAGACAAACGTTCAACACACTCCTTTGCTGCTGAAGTCGGCGACATACCAGTATATCTACGCCATGAAGCTTTCCATTTTTGTCACTCTCGTGCTCTCTTCCTTCGCCACCGCTCTTCCGAGTCTCAAGCGCCGTGGGGGAAGCTTTGTGCTGCAAAATGGTATTGATGCGATCAACTTGAAGTACGTCACGTTGACTCCACGCAGTCCCCTAACAATAATCTAACTCTTGCTTTCAGCAACCAGTTCAAGTCCTTGACTGCATCCTCGCCGTGTACATCTGGCAACGCCTGTGTCAACGGGGAGTTTGCTCAGTGTGTCAACGGGAAGTACGTCCTCACTTCATGTGGATCAGGTTTGATGTAAGTTTGTTTCATCTGACTATGTTCCAATGTCGGTGCTTAGTCGACCTTCCAATGTTTTATCTTAGATGTGCTGCACTTCCTCTTGTCAACTCTGCTGGAACCAGCATCACTTGCACCACTCAAGCAGACCTGAACTCTCGTATTGCTGCCACCGGTGCCACTGCCAACGGAACGAGTGCGACAGGCAGCCCCTCCAATGTGACCACTTCATCCAGCTCGGCTCCTTTAGCCACTTCCATAACAAACGCTGGGTCAAATTCCAGCTCAAATGCTCAGACCTCCCTAACCTTACTGTCAAGTCTTGTCGCTTCTAATTTTGCTCAGAACGGTCAGAGTTCAAACACCTCCGAGGCTGGCCAATTTCCCTCTTTGACCTCCACCAACAACTTCATCAACTTCTGTGCTACCTTATCCAATCTCCCTATAACGAACGGTCAACAGATCAAAAGTGGTTCCTGCAACCCCGCTCCCATGGGTGTCATCCCTTCCACCTCGAATATGCCCAGTGCCAAGTTTGTCAGTCCTACCAATTTGGCTGTTCTTCCAGCAGACACCACCTTCCAGGTGACGCTGGCGATTAAAGGAATTGAGACTGGGTTCTTTGTTAATCCGGAAACCAATTACTTTGCCGCTCCCCAGCAAATTGATCCTACATCTGGGCAAATCCAGGGTCACGCCCACATCGTTATCGAGGCGCTTCAGTCCCTTACACAGACTACCCCAACCGACCCCACCAAGTTCGCATATTTTCTTGGTTTGAACAGCAAGGCGGATGCAAAGGGTCAACTTTATGGCAACATCACTGGTGGTTTGCCTGAGGGGACGTACAAGATGTCTACCATTGTCAGCGCGATGAACCACCAACCGGTTCTCGTCGCTGTGGCGCAGCACGGATCGTTGGATGATCAAATCTACGTGAGTCGCGAGTTGCAGTAATATTTAATTCGCCACTGACAATTTTATCAGTTCACTGTTGCTGCCGCTAGCCAGAATGGCACGACCAAGACAACAACCTCCATTGGTGAATCACCGCTTCCTACAACTGCCTAGGGTGTCTCATCCGTGTCTACGGATTCCAGCACTTGATACCCACAGGTACGCCCGCAACCATGAGTGCCACACCCACCACATACTGCACATGTCAATCTTCGTGTTGTGATAGTGCATACAGTAGACTATCTCGTAATATATAAATCTCATAATACATACCCTTCAGGATGGTCCTGCTGCGGGGCTCTGGTCAAATGAGTCAAAACCGACTGTTTTATTCTTCGTTCTTTCCAGTGCCAAATACCTGGGTGCTACAGCCTGAGACTGTTGTCAAACTGAACAGAGGATTGAAATCTGAGCACTCCAAACTCCAATTTATTATCACAACATTCTACTACCATGACATAGTTCATATTGTATTACCCCTCAGCAAACGGAAAGAAATATAATTCTGAAACTAAGACATAAAACAAAAGATCAAAACACCCATCGCTGGCATCACTGCGCAGGAGATGCAGCAGCCGAAACCCCCTGATGCGGCGAAGGCAGTCCGACACGATTTTGTCACGAACTCCTCCTGTTAATCACCATCCATGGCTAAGTACGAACAAGTCAAATTTCTCGTAGAATACACGGTCATATTTTGTAGGAAAAGAATTATGTCCTCCTACAGTTCCCATAGCTACAATTTCAAGGACTCATGCGTTCACTGACAAAAGTTTAGCCAGAGTGATACAGCGGACAAAGGCAAGTCGGTATTCAGGCAGTCGGCATCGCAGAGCAGTTCTTCCTGTTACTGTCATAAATAATGATATTCAGCGTATAAAAGCAAGGCACTTTCAAGTTCCTAGCTACATATCCGAGTCGAAGTTCTTCAGATTTATCTGATACCATATCAGCATCCTCACAGACGATGCGCTTATCTCTTGTCCTCGCCGTCGTCGCTGCTTTGACAGCATGTGTATATGCCAGTGACGCCGAAGCTGAGCACTGTCCGATTTCTTGCCGCCATGATAAGCATTGCTCTGGCTGTAAAACACCAAAATGCGTGAGGAACTCGCATCCTTGATATAAACACACAACTGACTGACGTGGTATTAGGACGCTTTCCTATGTGTCAGATCTTGAAGAGTCGAAGCCCACAGCCAAGCAAAAGTGATTGTGACATAGCGCTCCAATTGTCTGTAGCATCCTGTAACATCGCTTGAGAACTATTAGTGGGTAGTGAGAGTGGAGGGTGTACAATATTACCGGCGCGGGTGTTTGAATTTAGAGGATCCGTAGGACAGTGGCTGTAATATTCATAGGCTGGGTGGGTCTTACGGATGTGGCGAATCCTGCGTAGATGAGTCTACCATAGCCGCGTGGCCCGTCATCTCGCTCAGTGACAATGAACTGAATTTTTTTTTTAAAAAAAAAAAACTATTAGTAGTAGGCTCCTTCGCAACGAATTTTGAACGTGTCATGCATATCTTGAACACTTGATAGTATACGGTGCGTCCTGCAGTACTTGTGAAGACAACGGAATTGGGAGAACTTGAAGGACGTGTGCTTATGTAATTACGTTGGCGGGTTCGGCCTCCAATAATAGGGACTAGTAATTCTGGCGTGTTTGTAGTACCCGCCCAATTTCATTATTGCTCTATGTTAATGGGTAGATATATAATGTACCCGCGGGTGACTCGCACACCCGCAGGTACCACCCACGGGTGACTCGCACACCCGCAGGTACCACCCACGGGTGACTCGCACACCCGCAGGTACCACCCACGGGTAGAGACCCGTACCCGACCTACTTGACCCGGGACAGGTACGGGTATGACCATATTTCTCAACTTACCTGCGGGTAGCATCCGGTCGACCCATGTCACGCCCTAGATACAGCGGACAAAGGCAAAACTGATTTAAGCATCCCCGTTCAAGTCAGTGTTCAGGTGGCAGTCGGCATCGCAAAGCAGTTCTTCCTGCTACTACTGCCATAAGCGTATAAAAGAAAAGCACTGTCAATTTCCTAACTACATATCCGAGTCGAAGTTCTTCAGATTTATCTGATACCATATCAGCATCCTCACAGACAATGCGCTTATCCCTTGTCCTCACCGTCGTCGCTGCTTTAACAGCATGTGTATATGCCAGTGACGCCGAAGCTGAGGGCTGTCCGTTTGCTTGCAAACATGATCATGTCTGTAGCATCCCGTAGTAACATCGCTCGAGAACTATTAGTGGGGTGTACAATATTACCGGCGTGGGTGTTTAAAGACTTTAGTGGCTGTAATATTAATTCCCGCTACCAGGGTCTTATCGACGTTGATTTTCACGTTTTTGCGGTAGATTTGTCCGATCCTGAGAACCCTTTCTTTTTGCCCTTATTTCCTTAGATGGACCAAGCTGTGTTTTCGATGAACTTCTTGTCGCAGCACGGATCATTGGATGATCAGATCTACGTGAGTCGCGAGTTGCAGTAATATTTAATTCGCTACTGACAATTTTATCAGTTCACTGTTGCTGCCGCTAGCCAGAATGGCACGACCAAGACAACAACCTCCATTGACGAATCACCGCTTCCTACAACTGCCTAGGGTGTCTCATCCGTGTCTACGGATTCCAGCACTGCAGGTACGCCCGCAACCATGAGTGTCACCCACATACTGCACATGAGTCAATCTTCGTGTTGTGATAGTGCATACAGACTCGTAATACATAAATCTCATAATATATACCCTTCAGGATACTACTGCAGGGCAGCGAGAACACGTGCATAAGTAATGCATAGACCTGCATACTCATGCATTATGAGATGGTAGTTCTGCTCCAAAAGTGCATATAAATACATTTGACGCGACGCGTCGCGTCAAAATTTTCCCATTGGCTAGAGATCACGTTACTACTCCAAAGCGCGCACCATCTAAATCAGCTCCTCGTAGTCAAATTGTTAGACATGGCCAACTCGTTTATAATACGAGTTCCAGCAACCTCGGCCAATATTGGTCCTGGCTTCGATGTCGTCGGCTTGTCACTTTCGCTCTATCTCACCCTCACTGTCACCATCGGGAAGACCTCTACCTTACCAGTGATCACATATTCGGGTGAAGGAGCCGATGAAGTCCCGCTAGACCCGTATCGCAACCTCATGACTCGTGTAGCACTCTACGTGCTACGTTGCAATGGCCATAGGTCATTTCCTCCTGACCTTAGTATTCACTGCCACAACCAAATACCCTTTGGACGCGGACTCGGTTCGTCCGGGGCAGCGGTCATTGCAGGCGTTCTTCTCGGAGACAGTCTCGGGAAACTCAATCTCTCCCGAGAGCGAATGTTAGACTATGCGCTCATGGTCGAGCGTCACCCCGACAACGTGACAGCTGCGCTTGTCGGAGGATTTGTAGGATCATACCTTAGAGAGCTAGACCCACAAGCTACTGAGGCAGCACAAGTACCCCTCTCTGAAGTCCTTCCAGAATACCCGCCTGATGCTGGAGAAGATTGGGGTCTTTCCCCACCTGTTCCGCCTTTGGGTATCGGTCATTACGTCCGATTTAAATGGAACAGCAGCATCAAAGCTATTGCCATTATACCCCGATTTGAACTCAGTACTGCAAAAGCGCGAGCTGTTTTGCCAGAGAGTTACTCGAGGAAGGATCTGGTATGTGTTCTTGTATATTCATAAAGTATACTGTCTTGAAATAAAAACACCTATACCCTCGCAGGTTTTTAATATGCAACGATTAGCTGTCCTCACCACAGCTCTCGGTCAAACACCACCAGATCCAGAGTTAATTTTCGAGGCTATGAAAGATCGTGTGCATCAGCCGTATCGAAAAACTCTTGTGCGTAGAGTTTATTTCGTGTAGGTTCCACTACTTGACCACCATCTCAGATACCTGGCCTGCCAGCGGTCACTTCCTTAATTACGCCTGCTTCACATCCTGGCCTACTTGGCATTTGCCTCTCTGGTGCAGGGCCGACCATCCTTGCGCTTGCAACTCATAATTTTGAAAACATTGCTGGGAAAATACAGGAAATATTCCAGCAGGAGCAGATTGAAGTAGATTGGAAGATATTGGAGGTGGCGGGAGGGACTACTGTAGACTTTTGAGCTGTGTCTCGGCTCAGCTTCAGTGGTATGTGATCTACTCTTCTACCGATTGGACCCCAGTTCTCACTGCAACGCGAAGAATGTTGTCTCTCCTGATTTTTGGCGATATCGAATAGATGTAGAGGAACGCTGATGAAAGACCCTTGAGGAAAAATGATCTTGTCTTTGTGAATGGCCTTGCTCTGAAGGCGTGTGCTTTTAATACAGGGAATTTAATCGATGAAGTGGAATATTCCAATTTGGTCACCCCTCCGTTCGCTCGGACATGAAAGGGCAGATGACAAGAGTCTGCAGGTTATGCGAGATTCGTCCAATGCTCGTTCTTCGGATTGCGTAGACTCATTGTATTGTATAGAACCAGAGCCTAGGTATGCATCGCTCGGGCTCATGCTCGCCTCCTGCGAAGCTCCAGTCCGAATTGTAATTCTCGCCAAACACCTTCTCTACCACTTGCATCGACCCTTTGGACGTGCTATATCCCTCAGGTTGTCATGGATTGAATGATTTGATGATCGCCATGAAAGAAAATTCACAAAGTACCACACTCTCCTCAGTTTTGATGATTCCGCGGTCAGATTCGCAATGTCTCAGAAGTTCTCAAATGCCACGACGTCATCAATTCACTTGGAGGTCGAATAGAATGCTTATAATCCGATAACCCATTATCTGTTTTTCATTCATTCTTTCAACTCAGCAAGTATGTCCTTAACGCAATTCGCCTTCGTTCTCATCATCTGCGGCAAGCTTCTGGAAAGCAACGCCCTCGCCATCGTCAGGGACGACCATTCTGTCGGATTTTATTTTAATGCTCATTATAAACCGACAAACGACGCCACGAACACAACATTTGGGTCACTCGTTTCAGTTACTAGTGAATCGGACTTGGAGGTGAGTATATGCATTGCAAACACAAACGTATGTTTAATCTCCGTGTAGTACCTCGGGCAGGTCAACGTAGGAGGACATGGTATGTAGTTCATCTTAATAGGGGCTACATTCATTGACCTTTCCGATCTAGATTTTAACCTGGTGCTGGATACTGGGTCCAGTGATCTGGTGAGCAGTGCTCTGCTTTACACGGTTCATTAGAAACTAATTGTATCGACGCAAGTGGGTCACTGGTCAACAAATCAACATAAACAGCAAGACATCCGACAATCTCAACCTCACATATGGAATCGGTTCCGCATCGGGAAACATCGCTTATACCGCTGTTCAACTCGGGACTTATCAAGTGCAAAATCAAGGTGATTCTCATCAAAGCTGTTTTCAACCTCTCCTTATCATTTTTAGCATTTCTAAATGTTGACAACACGTACCACCAAGGGGCCGATGGAATCCTTGGCATTGGCTTCATATCACTATCCATGATTCAGAAAAAAATTAAGAAAACGGCTGGCCGCCCTATAATAGCAAACCTTTTTGAACAAAATCCGTCAACACCAAATTTTATGGCTTTGGCGCTCGAGCGCACGACCGATAATGAAAATACCTCTGGAGGTGCTATCACGATCGGAGAATACGACCCACAATTCAAGGATGTCTCCGGGACACCCAAATACCCCCTTGCGCCTTCGACGTCATCGCGCTGGACTATCGCGTTATCGGGCATGCAGGTCAATGGCCACAACGTCAAACTTGAATCGGTCGTCAAGGGCTCAAAGAAGGGGACTGCTATTTCTCTCATCGACAGCGGAACCAGTTTGGCGTACATTCCCTCCGACGCTGTGGATGCGATATACGGTGCCATTACCGGATCGATTCATATACAAACCAACGGGCAAAATTTCTGGGTCGTGCCATGTTTAGGCTTGGCAAATTTGTCATTCTCATTCGGGTTCGTGATTCCAGTGTCTTTGATCTTGAATATCTACTGACAAGGCTCTCAGCAACGATTATTTGCCCATTAACCCTCTCGAATTGACGAGGCTGGCAACTTTTACTGATGGCAATACTCAATACACTGTTTGCACTTCTGCATTCCGTCCGCAACTGTCGAGTACAGGCTCGGATATGGATTTCTTGCTTGGCGATATATTCATGCGCAATGTCTACTCCGTGTAAGTTTTTTTCTATTGACATATATCCACCCTGGTACTGACCTTGCCGACTGTAGCTTCAACTTTGGTAATCTCACATCCAGTAATGATGACAACAAGGGCGCTTCGATCCAATTCCTTTCGAGGTCAAACAAAGATCAGGTTTACCAAGATTTCCAACAACAACGCACTCAGAACCTGAAAAACCTTCCGCCGTTGTACGATTTGTCTAAATTTCGTTCCGACGGAACTACATCGGATGGTGGACGCGTCAATTCTTAGTTGACGCACACGACGACGAGTAAAAGTAAAAATATTATGTAAATTTGAATAACAGCAAATATATCGTACACGCGCTTGAGTTGTGTGCACAAAAAGTACAGTTGAAATCCAAATTTATGTTGCGTCTTATATGACCATCGGTTTATGTGTTATCAGTCCATACAGATTCACGACTCTTCGACATTTCCATCAAAGTTTTGTAACCACCTACGCAACGCTCCTCCTCAGGCAAACCAATAGGCCTGCTCATCCATGCATATTCCAAGATATTCCAAGTCTTTTATTTAGTTTATAGGCGAGACTTGAACTAGACGCAGCATACATTGCAAGAGAGATTATCAGTTCATCATATGTTAGTCCATGATTGTCACAAAGTACAGAAATGCAAACAGAGGAATGGTATCATGATATAAGGATAGTACATTACGTATGCCAATAGTCAGAGATCTAGGTCGCTGCCGAACGAATACTCAGCCCCTTGCGGTGAGACAAACAGCCCTCATTGCTACCAGCGACGCTGATTGTTTGTCGAATGGCAGATCTACCGTAAACATTACATCACTGCGGTCGTTGTTGAGGTAAACTGGAAGCGTGACTAGATCGGCAGGCTGTTCTTCGCTACTGGAGTCGTCTTGCACCCAGCGAACTTGAGAAGCATTGAGTCGGACACTTTGCCCGTCATTGAGGACCAACTTTTCATTCTCGGCGTCCCAAGCAGCGCCCTCCAGAATAAGACCTATACACATTATTTGAGTTTGGCGAAGAGGGAGAGGAAAGAAACAGCGTACCATCAACAATGAATGCACCAGGATCATTCATCTGATCAATGTCGAGGCGCAGGTGAAGCGTCTCAAGACTCCATCGTTTGCGATGTGCCACGGCTTGACGGGTCGCTGTGATATATGCTTCGGGGAAGAACAGTCCACCAAGCCACACCTCCACGTTGGAAAGATTTTGTTGCACACTCGTTATGCTATCAAGCTGAGACAATCGACGAGCCAGATCTGGAATCCACTCTGACACGGACATGGCCTTTGGCACCTTGTATCTCCTCCAATGAGAAGGAATAGTTCCTAGTATACATCAGTATTCGATGCATGAGAGAAGGGTAGCGACAAAAAACCTTTTGTCAGGGAGCTCATCAAGGTTCGCAGGTGATTTG